GGTGTGGGGTTGAAATGAGATGATTCATGGTGAATGTCTGGAGTCTTGGAGCTGAGAAACCCCAAACTCTAACCTTTCACACCATTATGAGGGACTGTGCCCATGCCTGGCCTTGGCCCTGAACCTCATCTAGTCACCACAATGACAGCATGTGGACTTTAAGGCAGCAGCTTGGACGGGGAACCTCTGCCGTCCATGGGGACTCCTGAAAGGCTAGATGATGGAATCAAATGTAAATTAGGTCTATTCCTTGATAGTGACCCACTTTACAGAGTAACCCATTTCATAAAGCCAACCTTCTTGAAGTTACAGTGCCATACACATGGTTCTTAAATAAACTTCCTTATAAGATGATGGTGATGATGATGGTGATGATGGTGATGGTGACGATGATGTAGATGACGTAACAAGCAGCCTGCCTCGGTGCCCTAACGATAGCCCTCAATGTTGGGAATGTACAGAGTTGGGGGAGCACATAGGTAAACGGGGCGATTTCGGGTGCGTGAGAAAGGTCCCCACTCACAGTCCGAAATTCCACCTCTAGAATGTACTCATTTGGGTCCGAAGACGAATATCTTCAGAGAAAAACCACGCCTCTTTCATCCAACACCTGGACCGGAGTCAGGTGTCACGAATCTCAGTGAGGCTTCTGGGAACGGACCCATGGAGGCGAGGTGAGGGAGCCCTCGGGAGTGGGGGCCGTGTCACGAATGGGGGAGCTGGACGGGCAGCTGCAAACGAGCTTCGCCTTGTCCACACCCGCGCCGTCAGCTGTCTTAGGTTCCCCAGCTGATTCTGAGAAACCTTTTCTCCCGGGATGTGGCAAAGGGCGGAAAGTTTTCTCGCCACCGAAAGCAAAGATTTAGGAATGAGAGAAAATGCGATGGGTTAAGCATCGGGTCGGATAACACACATAGCCGGATTCAGTTCGTTACGTTTATTAAACATTTCAAAGCCGCATGAGCCATGCAGTAGTTACCAGTGCGTTTTGCTAAATTCAGCCCAGTTCAGGGATTCTAATCCGACTATTAAAATCTCAGTTTCGTTTAGGCGTTAATTATCTCTGGTCACTATTGGCATATGTGCAGTGAACGCCCGCCTGTCTCTCTCCTCCCTTGCCAGTTTATGACGATGCGACAGTCTGACCCTCAGATGGTCCCCATTTTTGTGATCATCTCCCATTTCTATCTGACACGCCCCCCGCCCCCCGCCACACCAGTTCCTGGAAACTCTGCCCAGTGGTTCTTCCTGGGTGTGAGGCATTTGGCTAAAGCAGCAACCATCAGTAATGGCAGGCATGAGGCTGGTCCTCTCCGTGTGCTCCAGCGGCCCCTGAGAACCCCCACGAGGTGGTCTCGGGGGACAGTGAGGGCCTCAGGGTCCAGCTCTAGCCTGTGTCAATGCCGGGGGCCTCTGCTCTAGGCAGAGACGACCCCTCTCTGCACCTTTCGTGCACTGAGGAGTGGCGGTGCTGGGGTGTCTTTGAGCGCTCCGAGATGGTGACCCCCAACCCTGGCACGGGGGCCGGCACTGGCACGTCTTTGAACTCACAGGTCGAAGGACAACACCCTGTGTTCTCAGCCACGATTCAGCTCCGGCTCTTGACGATTGCCACCTTGAACATGTAGCGTATCCTTTAGGTTTTAGGCACAGCTTGGCACAAACGTTGCACAGACAGGTGCGTTTGCTGCCGAGGACTGTACGGCCACAGAAAAACGCATAGAGGATACTTTATTTTTACGCATTAACGAAAGTCTCGGTCACGCGAAGCTGCCACAGTGCGGCCTCTGATATAACGCTGTACTTTTTTCCGTTTTCATTTGAAAACATTAAAACGTAAAACAAAACCCCACACGCAGCACGATTTTATGGCTCCTTTCGACCTTTCACTTCCTGCACCTCGATTTTATTTTTTTCTCCCCGCCCCCCTTTTTTGCACATCTGCTTCCTCTTTAATTTTTCTTTCCCACGTCGTTCCCCGCTCCCGAAGCAACCTATCTGTGGCCCCCAAAGGCATTTCCTGGGCTATTTGGTGGCGCTCAGACTGCAGAGTCTCCGACACCGGTTAATCGATCTATCTCGATTGGAGTATTGCCACTTTCATTCGATTCTATTCCGACTAAAGAAAAACTAAGTTTACTAACGTATGCTAGCAAAGAACATCACTTTAAGTTCAGCGCGTTACGTTTTAAGCTGATCGGAGGTCCAGAGCGCCAGATGTTCTCCGGTGAGGGCTGGCGGAGATGGCGAGTCCTCGAGGTCTCGGTGGGACCGCGCCGCAGCGGGCCCGTCAGCAGGCCGTCTCTGCGGGACTTCTGTCTTGCCTCCCCTTTCCGATTCGGTCCCAGACACCACGGCCAGGCTACTCACGCTGCTGGCATGTCCGCGTCTGTCTAACTGGCCCTCGGTGGCCTTCGGGCCCCTGGGGTGGCCGTGTAGACTCTTGGACCTTAAGAACGGGAATCCCAGGCTTTGGGGTGGCGTCAGCGTCAGTAAAGTCTCCTTTTCGGCTCCGTCAGTGACGGCTAGAGATGAACGAGAGATTCGAGGGGCCGGTTTGGAGACCCCGGGGTCGTCTTCGGCGCCTGGGGTTCGCTGCGGGTCCTCGGCCTGCGCGGCGGCCTCCGACACCAGGCACGGGATGTCGCTGCTGCGGGAGCGCGTGATCCTCTGCACCTGGAACTGCCACTCGGTCGTCGTCCACTGCTCCACTGCGGACGGAAGAGCCGGGTCCACGGCCCGGCTGGGCGACCCGCCGACCAGCCTCCTCCCGTGGGAGCACACGAAGCAGCTGGACTGCACGGTGTGGCAGGTGCCCACGGTGTCCCCGGGGTGAGGGCGTGCCGTCCAGGTCTCCCCCGGGGGCTGGGGACTCGCGCCGGCCGCCCGCGTGCTCTGGGCAGGCCCCGCGTCCGCCTGG